ACAACAAAGTAAAGCTATTTTTCTGCTAAGAGCCCTACACGGAACCGTATTAGTCAGAGGTTTACTACGTTTCGGAGCCGCGGACCTTCAGTAATAGTAATAAATCACACAGCAATAGTACATTCACGTAGTTGTAAAATGCATGATAATATGTTAAGTAATCCAAAGTATTCAGAATACGTTACTCTCATTCAGTAACGTAACGGAATATGTTACAGAATACATTTTAGGGCATGTATTCTGTATTCTGTAATGGAATACATTTTAAAAGTAACTTTCCCAACACTGATTGAAAGTTTTCTCATTGTAGAGAACGGAGACAATCTTGACTTCAACATGAAATGAACTTTAAACTTTAAAAAGTATTTCACACCTGCAGTCAAGAGATACAGCGATACATCAGCACTCAGAGTTAGCCAGACCAAGTCTATATCTACCAAACAAAGTGCTTTAAAGATGAAACTGTCTTTTTTCACAGTGCTCAAAAACTAAAACTACATGTTTTAAATGATCGAACACTTTTTAATTTTAGACAAATTATTATTTCGTTTACTACTATGGGAAAATAGCTATCCAGACCTATCTGGCCCCATGTGAAAAAGGATTTGCCCCCTAGACCTAATGACTGGTTTGGCCACCCTTGGCAGCAAGGATGAAAAAAAAACAGGGTTTCCAAACACCAATCAAGTGTTTGGAAAAACTGCCAGTGAGTCTTTCACATCGTTGTGGAAGAATTCTGGCCCACTGTCCTTTGCAGATTTGTAATTCAGCCACATTGAAGGCTTTTTGAGCACGAACAGCATGCCAAACCATATCAACAGCTGTTAACTTGTTAGAGTTAAGTGATTAGGCCACTCCAAAAATCTTAATTATGTTCTTTTTGAGCCGTTCAGAGGTGGACTTCCTGGTGTGTTTCAGAAAATTGTCCTGCTGGATAACTCAAAACTGAATTCACAGTTCCATCAATTACGGCAAGTCGTCCAGGTCCTGAAACACCAAAGCACTCCACCTCCACCATTTTTCACTGTTGGTATGATAGTCTTTTTAAGAAATGCTGTTATAGTTTTACACCAGATGTAACAAGACGCAAACCTTCAAAAAGTTCAACTTTTCCGTTGTCAGTCCACAGACTATTTTCCCAAACGTTTATGGCAAATGTGTGACAAGCCTTTGTGTTTCTTTTTGTCAGTAGTGGTTTTCTCCTTGAAAAAAACACTCCCGATCCCATGGGTTCACTTTTGTCCAGTCTGTCTTATTGTTGAAGTCTGACCTTAGCTGAGGCAATTGAAACCTTCAGGTTTTTATATGTTGCTCTGGGTTCTTTTGTGGCCTTCTAGATGAGTTGCCGATGTACTCTTGGAGTAATTGCGGTAGGCTGTCCACTCCTGGGATTGTTTGCTACTGTTGCAAGTTTTTTTCTCTATGTGAATAATGGCTCTCACTGTGGTTCACTAGAGTTCCAAAGCCTTAAAAATTTCTTTTCAACCCTTTTTAGACTGACAGACGGAAATTACTTTAGATTGTGGCATGATGTGTTGCTTTTTGACATCTTTTTACCTACTTCACTTTGTTCTCCCCGTGTTTGCGTGGGTTCTCACCGGGTACTGCGGCTTCGTTCCACAATCCAGAGACATCCAGTTAGTGTGGTTAGGTTAATTGGTCATTCTAACCCTGAGCCCACCCACCCCTGAGCAACCCTGACAAGGATAAGCGGAAGAGATCGGATGAATGGGAGTGGCAGTTACATTTTCCACCAACAGTGAAATGGTAAATGGTAAATGGCCTGTATTTGTAAAGCGCTTTGGGGTCCTTAGGGACTAGGAAAGCGCTATACCACTCACTCCCGTCCAGTCATCCACCCATTCACACACATATTCACACATTGGTGATGGCAAGCTACATTGTAGCCACAGCTGGGGCGCACTGACAGAGGCGAGGCTGCCGGACACTGGCGCCACCGGGCCCTCTGACCACCACCAGTAGGCAATGGGTGAAGTGTCTTGCCCAAGGACACAACGGCCGAGACTGTCCAAGCTGTGGCTCGAACCGGCAACCTTCCGATTGCAAGGCGAACTCTTGAGCCACGATCGCCATAACAAGTGAATTGGAAAAGCACTTAAGAAAATGCATGGATGGTTATTTTCAAGTGGAATCGTATCACCCACATTGCAAATTGCTGTCAGCTGTCATTCAGTGTATGTTTTGCTGTGCTGCTGCAGAGATCCAGGCCAGACCAGGCAGAAGCTGTTTCATCAGATGAAAAGAGGCTGGTAACATTTTTGTAAAATCAAATGAGCATTACAACCTGGATTTAAGATAAAACGTTAAATACACAAGGAGCTGTTGAATACTAGAGTGCATCAATTAAATGGAAGGAAAATCCTCGATGGGTTCTGTTTTCAAATGGTTAAAGGAATTGTTTACCGAATACGAAATTTGATTTTCAGTCATTCTCTCTTCATAGGACATGCGAGTGGGATTCACACATCGCCTCCTGTTGCTCCCACTTCTTATTTTGCATAATCTGAAGTTAATTTGACACCGCTTCCTGACAGGTTGGTTAACCACCGATTTATCAAGCATACATTACTCTGCAGTGTTCTCTCATTAAACATATACGGCTTTGCAGCAGTGTGGTGTCATAATTACTCTCTCATCACTCACCCAGCAAATCATTCTGTAAATTGCCCAGTAAGTAATGCTTCTGACAATATACGTCTCCAATAGTAGCAAGCTGGAACAGAGCTGTAAGGGACAACACTTACAATTATTATTCTCCTCCCTTCTCCGCCTTCTTGTATGTTAGGTCAATGTAATCTGAGACACTAACTCACTGGGTATTTGCAAAAATTAAAAGGACACGTAGATGCATGGAGGTTCGCCACCACCTTTTTACAATGCTATTTGAAAACGTGGACATCCCATCATAGAATGACACATACACACAGAAACACACTTTGTGTCTGTGTCTATATGAGGGGGTAGAGTGTCAGCCCCCCAGGAAGCGGACTTTCAAATATTGAGTACGCCCTACTGTGGAACAAACTGCGACTGCTATCCAATGCCACGCTTGTCTGCCTCTGTTCAGATCACTTCCTCCGCTGGCTCCAGCCATCTGGTGGGAGGTAGCCTTGGCTCGTTTCAGATTTGGAAAGGATCCAAATAGCTTTCCCTGTCAGCTTTACTGCGTTCTCTCTCCCAGGTTGTGTATATTAAGACGTTAACCAAGACATCAGGATTACAGCTATAATCCTAAAATTTATCTCTCCTCAGATGCTTGTCTGTCCCACCTCTCATTTATTAGGCTCTTAGGGAAGACTGAGATGAAGAGAGATGGGATGCTATAACTGGTCTTACTAAAGAAGAATGATCATATTTCTGGTTGTTCTGGCACACCTCTGTTTAGTGTCAGGACACAATTATCTGAGATGTGTTTCTTGCAGTGATAAACCCATAAAGCATGTTTTGGTTTTCTAGCCTCCAGCTGTACTGTTTTGGTCCAATGTCAACATGAAGACAGCACTGTGCACAACCAGATCAGTATCAAAAAGCCAAGAAACACCTAGCCCATTAAGTTTTTTGTGGATGTTTTGGCAAAGCAAAATACATTTTTTCAGAGACATTGTAAAGACTTAAATAAAGTGAAAAAAACAGTGACTAACAGACCGAAACACAACTCTGTACCTAATATTAGACAGAACTGTAAAAGCAATCAGTGGAATCAACATCTAATATAAACCCCAAACCACAGTCATTTTTATGACTGCCGAAGAGCCTCAGAACAGAATAGGAACAATTTGTTTCATCTTAATGAGAGACACAGACAAATACTTGCTTCATTGCTTTAATATATCTAAAAAAAAAATGCAGTCATATAAAAAAAACATTGAAAAAAAGCATTGACTTTACTTAATTTTTTATGCTCAGTAAATATGTAAAAACAAGAAATATTTTCACACATTTGCTTCTCGATTATGACTGTGCTTCATTCCTTCATTTACAAGGATGTTTGCATCTTAGTGGCACCTTGGGCTTTTCCATTCGTGTCAGAGTTAATAGACAGAACCAGCTCCATTTCCTGACCAGGCGAGGGGATGGGCATTTTATTAATCTTGGCAAAGCTCTGGCTGATGTCCATAAAGGTTTTATTTTTGGTTTCCGGGAGGACGACATAGAGGTATATGGATCCCAGAATGCAGACTGCCACAAACACAAGGAAGGAAAAGGACTGCAGCGTCTCCTGTGCAAACAGAAAACATACAGACAAGAAACATGAAACACATCAGATTTGTGCATACACTGTGCTGTTTACAACATCCTAGTTACCCTCAGTTCATCATTCTTCAATCAGATGACATCTAGTAAAGTTTATTAAAAAACAAAAATTTTACAGCAGAATTTTAAACAATTAAATGATTACTGGCGTGTCCACCTCCACACAGCTGGATCGTGACATTTTTCAGTCCATCTCTGCAGAGACATCATCCGTGGCATCTGTTTTGTCATCTGTTTTGTCAAATGTGTGTCATTGATGAGGACAGCATAACATTACCATGATTTTCCGCTCAAAAGAATCCTACAAGCATATAAACTGAACATTACTCGTCTTGCATATACTTGCATGTAGTCGTGTGTCCAAGTACAAAAAGTATGAAAGGTAACCTTGTCCTGTGGGTTATGCCAATAATAGAGATTAGTGACAGATTTAAAAATACACACTGACTGATTACCCAGAGGGAGATTTAGATGTGGAGAGAGGGTTTTGTGCGTGTGCGTATGTGAGTAAGAGAGAAAGACAGAGAAAGAGTCTGAGAGAGAAAGGTTGGGTGTAGGGCAGAGAAACTTGGCTGACCCTGACCAGTATGTTACCAACTATAATCCCTCGCTTATGAGGAGGCAGACCGCAAATGCAGAACTATGTACCAGGTATTAGAAATGCAGTGTCCAAACAACCACGACCTCAGTAAAAAACTACTTACCACTTTGATTTCAGTTGGTTATATCACCACTGCTGTTAGTCTCTGACACTGTTTTCCTCTGTTGAGGGTATTTCATAATAGCGGCATAAAAAAAAACAAAAACCTCAGAGCATCGTGCAAAGGGCCTGACCCAGTTTCCATGCTGCCTCTGTGACGTAACACTCATCTGCAAAGTTAGCAAGTTCTTCAGAAAGAACTGCCTTTCTCTCTCAGTTGTCAGGGTAGATGAGTCATCTTACAAACAGGACATTTATGCGTTCACTCCATTTGTCATTAATCGAATTTTTTGCAAGCCCGTGGATTGACGAGGATGAGACAGTCCTGATTTTGACACTGGGATAAGCCTTTGATCTGCTGTGGTGGCTCAGCTGGGTTCAGTGTGGTGCACACGCAGACAGTAAGGCATGAACACAAAGACCCAATTGCTATACACACACACAAACAGACACACTTTTTTCATGCTTAAATGAATGTTGGCTGAATAATGTGCAAACAGAAAAGGCAAAGTGAATGCTCTAAAATGCACTGCAGACGTACTGTAAATCAAATCTGGTCAAATGAGTGTCCATGCTTGGACATATACTGTCAGTCACTGGTTTCTGGTGCAACAATGAGTCATTGCTAGGGGTAGGGGTTTGCCGGTGTTAAAAGGGGGATATTTGCATGGCTGTGGGTTTTCATAGATTGTGTTGCCTGTGGGAGGCACAACGAGGAGATGGAGATGTGTACAAGATTTGAAATGTCCACACTGGACTGATTTATGGATTACACCGATCAGCCACAACATTAAAACCCCTGGGAGAGAATAACATTGATCATCTTGTTACAATGCAGTGTTCTGTTGGGAAACCAGGAGTCCTGGCATTGATGTGGATCTTTTGACCTTGTCTTCAGACTCTCCAGATTCCAATATGATCAAGCTTCTGTGACAACCCACAGGACCCAATGGATCTGCTGTCCGACTCTACAGTTGAGTGTTGTGGCTAATCCTTGGCTATATCATTGTTGTTACAATATGAGCATACAAGACAAAAAAACAACAATACCCATTAAGCATCATGTTTATGGATCACAGCTGCAATGCTACATACTCATTAATGAGGCAAACACAAAAGCATTCAAAACTCATAGCGTATGAATGGATGTGATTGAATGTGATGGGTCAATAGGTTTTACAGATTTCATGCACAAATAGAGCTTGTTATTTCCCCATTTTATACTTATATATACATTTATATTGGTGTGAAGCATCGCATTGGAACTAGAGCTCCTGCTATGTTAGCATTTCTCCATATGATGACTTCACCAGCTTTGGTAAGGGTTAAAAAATGGCAAGTGAAAGTTTCTTCTTTTCATAAAATTCACTGTGGCAGAAATTGATGTTATACTGTTTGTACTGGCTGACTACATAGAGTTATAGAGCAGAGTACACAGTTTGTGAAACACTTGCCTGAGTCAATAACTGCAGAGTTCCAAACCTCCACCGTTATTAACAGCAGCACACAAAGTGTGCGCTGGGAGCTTCATGGCATCAGTTTCCATGACAGAGAAGCTCTTGCTCTTGCAAATCTTAGGGAATGCTTTAGACTCCAATTGCAGCAGAAAGAAGGTCTTGTAACCCTGTAGTGCATCCTGCTTGGTGCATGAGTTTTTGAGACCTTTACATCATGTTTATTGTTTGTTTATTTGTTTTTTCAGAAAAACCTGATGTACACAATTAGACACATGTGGTGCTACTGTGAGCAATAAATACACATAAATATGTAAATTGATATTTAATTTCTTTCCTCTTAATTCTTCAGGTTCCATAAATCCTCCAGTTAGACTTTTCTGGCAATTATTTCATGGTTCAGGCTTTATGAGGTGAAAGCACGCATTAGATCTGTTAAATTTATAAAAAAGAAAGAAAAGAGCCAGTTAAACAATAAATCTCTGTTAAAACTTTAAATGAGGCTGTCAACAGTATCTCAGATGAACACATACAGGATGGCTGGAGCCTTTTTGTGCGTATTATTCCTGTGCCTGTATGGTTTTCCAAATTAGCCAAAGGTGAATTGATTTGGAGAACTGATGATTCAAAATGATGATAGTGTGTGGTTGTCGGTGTTAGCTCTGCGATGACCTGGCAATTTGTCTTGAATATAGAGGGATTATGGCAGTCTTGCTTTGATTGATGACTTTGATTATTTTACCTGAAAAAATAGTTGGTCCCTTTGAAACCATGACAGTGTTTAATATTAGAGAGATCCAACCTCTGGTCTTTTAAACAGAGCCAGTAGGATTCCCATACAGTATTAAAAAAGTGAATACACTCGGGGGCTAATTAAAATAAAGTGGAAGATAAAATATACAATTTGCATGTGGCAAAATTTGGGTCAGGATTGTCCCCCATGAACCTTGTTAACATGCTCCATCTGGTGCCATCATCATGCATTTGGCTCAAATATTTGATAAAATACAAAAGATGACCAGTCAAATCAGTAGTAACAGTAATTAATTGCTATCCTTTAATTTTCCAAGGCCAGTGTCTCAGTTGTCTGTATCAGCTTTTCATTGAAATAGCCTTGGTGGAGTTTTCAGGAGTGTAAATTGGTATAATTGCTACTTAATGTGTTCCTTTTCCTGCACCATAGGCCTGGGAGCATTTTGCATATCTGTGTTCAGGTGCTGCTGTCCTTTTAGATATCCATGTAGGGAATTAAAAAGTGCTAATAATTGATAATATTTCATATTACAAGATTTTAACTGCTATATTTTATAACCCCATTTGAACACCTAGAACTGCAGAGCACTAACTGACACCTCAGCAGTGGCCTGCCATGGAAAGATGGGATGTGACAGTTAAACGGTGTGTTGTCTGGAAAGGGGTCAGAGCTGGTTTCAGGTGCACGTCAGAAACCAGTCAGTCACTGCTGGGATCTGGATGCCAGGCATGTGCCTGGGAGTTCGTGGGGCTAGCAAAACCCAACCAACAAAAGCAACGAGCAACTCTGCAATATTTGCGGAATTGGCTGGCTAAAAATAACCTTCTGTTGCTTTCTGTTTCTCACACATGTCCAAATCTTCCCTGCCAGGTCAGCCTTATCTCTTGCTCTGCTCTAGGACTTTCAAAACCCATTTCTCCTGTGACACACTCTTATTGTATACCTTTATTATCTGTTTAATTACCTATTCAGCTCAATATCTACTTGACCTTCCATTTCCTGACATAAATTACCAGCAATCTCGTTGTTCAGCCATCAAAATACCATATTAAAAAAAAACACCCTTATACCTCTTTATCCTGTCTTCCTACTGGTCAGTGGTGCATGACAGGTAGAAGTGCAATATATCATCCTTTATTTCTCCAATCCTTATTTTTTACCAGAATGAAATGACAGTGCAGACACAATGGTGAGGTGTTCAGGCTCCTGTACATCTACTGACAACTCTTCATTTAAGGATTCATAGTCTGGTGTAGCTCTAGCACAGGAGAGTATAGGTGTTTCATTACATGTACAGGGTACCTGACATGCTGAAACCGGCAGAGTTCTGCACATTTCTGTAAATGACTTCCACAATGCAAGCTTCCTATTCTTAGCAGTGGGTGTTGCTTACCTATATTGTGATCGGTAACATGACACAGGAAAACAAATGTAGTTTTTTGTCACACTGCCAATGTGAAGATGTGGATGGCATTTTTGTTTTTTAGTCACACTTCATTCGAGACTGAAATATCTTTACAGATGAGTTCCCCCGCCAAACTTTGTGTTTGGTGGGGTATGTGTTCATTTAACTGGAGAATGGAGCTCTGACGAGCTCTGATGAGTTTACACCAGAGTGTTACACTTTGGTGTAACACTCTGGTAACCGCTTCTCTCCTAGCGCCATAGCCAGATCTTGATCGTTTAAATCATTTCATTCATTTAAACTCTTCTGTGGTGGTGTACAGAGGTAAAACCACAAACACTGTGTCATTTTCCTAGTGCTTATGGGCCTGACTGTATAGCTATGAAAGAGTGACTTTGCAAACATTTTAACATCTCCAAAATTAATTACACAACGCTTTGAGAACACATCTGTTATTCCTGTGGGAGCTCATGCATCACACAGTCAGTGTGAGAGTGGAAGTGCAGGAACGCATCGCCCAATGGGGTTTTGAGATGTTTGGGCTTTAATTTGGTTTTTTTCTTAAAATCAGCAAGACTAAATGAAAAGGAAAAGACAGATCATGCATGAACAACTTCCACCTCTAAGAAAACACCATCTAAGTGTTTGTTAT